AATTAGCCGGGCGTGGTGGCGGGCGCCTGTAGTCCCAGCTACTCAGGAGGCTGAGGCAGGAGAATGGCGTGAACCCGGGAGGCGGAGCTGGCAGTGAGCACAGATTGCGCCACTGCACTCCAGCCTGGGCAACAGAGCAAGACTCCATTTCAAAAAAAAAAAAAAGATGAATGATCAACATCAGTTCCCAGTCAGTCTGCTGGACACACTGGGGTGCCACAAGTGGGTTGCAGGTTGGTTGCAGATGGGCAGAGATGGATTCTGCTGAGCTTTCAGAGTGGCCGCCAGCTGGGGCCTAGCGTTGGGGCAAGGTTCCAGCTGGCGGTCTCTAACCTGGAGGAGCTTCATCTAGTTACCCAATGTGCTGAACCAACAGCATCAAATAGCTTCATTTCCTGTGCAGTGTTAGGAAGTGCAAACGTTTGGAAACACTGATACAGTACAATTATTTCCATCACTCCATGTTGCCACAATTTTTAGCTACTTTTCTTGATTGAAAAGTCAATCACGTTGCCAAAAATGATTTTTATGTCAGTTAAAGGCCAGTTGAAATTTTTTTATTAGGATGTTTTAAATTTACTTTTCACTTTCTTGAATTTTTTTCTTCTCAAATTTCCTTGGCCCAGTGCCCACAAGCAAATTTCATTCAAAAACAGGAATAACCTTTCATCATAAAATTTTGCCACCAGCTTGGCGTACTAAATGACCGCAAAAATAACTGAGTAACCAGAGGTAAAAATCTGTGCAGGTGGGCTTAGGAGTCCCCTGGGGTCCCTGGTTCCTCAGTTGCCAACTCTGGTTTCATGAAGAAAGACCAGGCGCTGGAAATCTAGGGAGGAGAAAGTTAGTGCAGCACCTGGTGTGATCTGTTACAACTTCTTTAAAGACAGTCTGCCTGGCTCGCTTTTCCCTGTTTTCATGCAGTTTCCCCTCCCAGCATCAGCCTACCTGTTCCTAAGAAACTCATTCTTGTTCCCAAGACTCCTTTTAGTCAAATCTTTCCTATCATTCCAGGACTTTCTTGTACTTCCCTCCCCATGAATCTACCAGTGCCTAGGGTGGGCCAGGCACAAGGCAGGCGGCCAGTCAGCATCTGGATGTGGGACCAGTTTTTCCAGCTGCCCTCCTCTTTCTCTTTTTTTTAAAATTATTATTTTGTATTATTTTTGAGACAGGGTCTCACTTTGTTGCCCAGGCTGGAGTGCAGTGGTGCTCTAAATAGCTCACTGCAGCCTTGACCTCCAGTTTCAAGCAATCCTCCTGCCTCAGCCTCCCAAAGTGCTGGGATTATAGGTGTATGCCACCATGCCCAGCCCACTTTCTCTCTCTTAACTCCCTCTCCCTGCTGTTGTTGCCATACTCTTGCACACACAATCAGCTGTCTAGTTTTTGACTGTTTGTGGATAAGTTTGTGTGTATGGTGTGTGTTGTCTCTCTCACCAGATTTCAGGTTCCTGAGGCGAGCCTGCAGCTCATACTGCTCATCTGTCCTCTCCTGTGATGGGTGCTCAAGGCCTGTCACTGTTGGTTACTCCCTCTGTTCTGCCCAGTTCTGCACTCAACTAGTAGAAGCAGCCATGCTTTCCCCAGCAAGAAATTGTAGTGGTCGCCCTTAAGAGCAGTGTGAGGGCAGAAGATGAAGGGAGGGGAAGAGTCCTTGGAACTGGAAGAAGGTAAATACTCTGCCTTGAGAGGGCACTGAACCATTTTACCAAAATAGGAAATGGAAAAAGTGTCAAAGGTTGGGACTAGTTTTAAAAACACATACAGCCAGTAGACACATGGGGGCTGTTAAAATAATTTTTTTTTTACCCGGTTCTGCCATCACACGCACTAGTGACATTCCAAGTATTTAGTGGCCATGTGGGGCTAGTGGCCACCACACTGGACACCACGGACGCAGAACTTTTCCATCGCCGCAGAGAGCTCTGTTGACCAGTACTGTGTCCAGAGTGCTCGTTATGAACAGTTTAGAAACCACGATTAATACATTCTCCTTATGAGGTTAAAAGCAGACATGGGAATAGAACATAACACAAATGATGATGAGTATTTTGGGTGAGAAGAGAAAGCCGAGGACCCATTTCTAGAATTCTAAGATGTAAGATTTAAGTTCTTTATCTTAGTCTCATGCATTCTCCACATCATGCGCTGTACCATACTGTGTAGTCAGAACAGACAATGTGATTGAAAAGCTTTGGAAAAAGTGAACACAAAGGATTATTTAGCACACAGGCTTGTAGATACGTATGTGTGTATTTATTCAAGCATTGGAGATGGTTGAATACCTTTGAACAAAGTGTATAGCTTCTCAAAATCAGTGGTTGCACTAGTAAATAATTAGAAGGTGTTATTTTTAAAACTATAAGCAAAATTATGAAGGCCTTTAAAAAATCTATCATAATAATGAAAAAGAGGTTGTCTCCCAACAGTGCTGTCCCTCAAAGATTGGTTATGTGGAAACAGCACATTTGGAGATTGTTCTAGTGAATAGCAGTGTATATTTGTGGTGCGCAAATTTCTAAGAATGACCCCCTACTGACACCCCTGCCAATGACCTTGTACAATATCCTCCCCCTCTGAGCATGGGTGGAACCTGTTTGATCTATGATTGTATCATGTTATGTAGCAAAAGGAAGACTGTCTGGGGGTGGCTAATCAAATCTTGTGACTCCTTTAGAAGCAGAGAGTTTCCTCGGGCTGGTAGCAGAAGTCAGAGACAGAGCAGAAGGACCCCAGGCACCATTGCTGTTTTAAGGTAGGGGGCTGCATGAGAAAGAATGCACGTGGCTTTAAGGAGCTGAGAGAGGCCTTGGCTAATAGCCCAGGGAGCTGGGAACTGCAGTCCTACAGCCACGGGAACTGAATTCAGCTCATTCATGGGCTTGGAAAGGCATTCATCTCCAGTCTCCAGGTAAGACCCAGCCTGGCCAACACTTTTTTGAGTCCAGCCTTCTGAGACCCTAAGCCAAGAACTCAGTTAAGCCTGCTTGGACTTCTGACCTACAGAACTATGAGAGAATAAATCAGTGGTGTTTTAAGCTGCTAAATTTGTGGCAAATTTGTTATGTCAGAATAGGAAATGAATACAGTATTTTAAAAGAGGTAAAGAGGAACTCTTCGTACTTGATTCCCTGTAGTATGCTGGATCTTTCTTGGTAAATGCATGAATAAAGTCTTCAGTAGCAAGTCATGTACCTGGACCTCGTTGGGGATGTTCTCTTGCCAGAGATCTCAGTTCGTCTTCGTTGGACGTTTGTTGGCAAAGTTGCAGCATCTTACTGAGTAGCATTTTGTAAAGGAACTGCTAGAATGAGACTATAGGAATAGGACTGAAACAGTGTATAATGAATCTTTTTTATTTCTAGAAGAGGTGTTACTTTATGCTGATTTAGACTGCTCTGAGCCTGTCAGAAGTAAATTCAAGAATGATTAACAGTGGTATTTTAGATACAACATTAAGAGCAAAAACAACCTTGGCCTTGTAGAGATCAGATAATCTACTATTTATCGAGGGACTTAATTTTTTTTTAACCAAAACTTAGTTTCTCTTTTTACCATCTAGAACAGATCAAATCCTGTATGGGCCAGCCAAATGTTTGCAGTTTGAGAATGTTTTGCAAATACCTCTCTGCTTCCAAGCCATTAATTGCTAATGAAGTTTTATTTTGTCCATTAATTTTTGTGCTTATTTTTACTGTATTGCCATGGCCTTGATACAAGACAAGTAGAACTAAAAGAAAGAAAATGAGAGGTTAAGACTGTCAAAAGTTAAGAAATGTGAGTCATAATCATACCTTAATGTTTTAAGGGAACTTTATCCAATCCAATCCCTTTATAGAAAAGGAACTTTTCCAAGCTATGTTGCAATATTTATAGTGTGTAAAATTTTGTTTGACTTTGGTAGTTGTGCATTTTAAATTATTGATCTTATATGCTACGATAACTAGTATGCTTACTTTCTTTAGTGCATGTGATCATACAGTGCTAAAAAGATATTTTTTAAAGACCCAACCAAACTGAGGATTTTGTTATACATATCTGTATCAACACCTATATATAAACTCCTCTCTTCTTACCTGAAACACTCCTTCACCGGTTTGGGCACTAACTAGATCCTTTTCAAAGGAACAGACGGGAGTGAGCAAGCTGGCACTCCAGAGTGCGTCTGAGCTGAGAATTTAGAAGACCTTATTCAAGAAAGTAAACTGAGCATTGACGGGAAGGCACTTTGTGCGAACTATCCTTCCCACTGTTAACGTTGCAGTAAAAATTGTGGAAAAAAAAAATAGTGGTGCTAACATTGTTCTTAAATGAAGATTGTTTTTGTTGTGGGGAATATTTTAATACTCTTGGACTTCAGGGAGGCTATTTTATGTGTCACTTGCTCCTAGTTGTTTCATTGTGTTAGTAATTAGCAAACTGTCCTGGATCCAAGGGTTTGGTACTTTTGCTTGATTAGCATTCCATTATTTATTTGAAATGCTCAGTGTGTGCTCAAATTTGGTGAAAATATCTTTTGAAGACATATTCTCTGAGCCTTAAAAATGGCTGCTATCGACAGTACTGTAAGATGCACTGCCAGTAGATTTGATACTTTTCATTTCAGTGTAGGCAGTAATGTTTTCTAAGAAAGATTTAGAAATCAGCATAGTACAACAACTGTGTTTCATTTATGGAATGAAAAAACTGAAGTGTCCCATTCAGAACACTTTGGAAAGGCTGTCTTTGCGTTAGGGGATGCTTCTGGAAGCATCCCTTAGAGAAGCTGCCTGAGGAATCTCCTTGCCAGGTTGTACCAGATTCTTTTTTTTTCCCCTTAAATGTATTGTATATATTTTCCTTAAAATGTCTTCATTGGCTGAATGATTCGTATCTGTAGTAATATTTTAGGTACTTGTTGGATTTTTAAAGGAAGATTATTTATTTTCAGATTTGCTGCTATAATTGAAAACCTAATAACTGGTCCTGTTGATTGTGCCTTTCATCACTGTTTTTCTGTGCCACGACCGTTCATGTGTATTTGAAATAAAGAAGTTTAAAAAGCCATGTTGAATTCAAGATTCCTTCTAATAAAAACAGGTGAAACTTAATGAGTGGTATTTTATTGTTAATTTTGTTTAACACTGATACATACTAGTTATCCATTTTCGGTTAGAAAAAAAGTGGATTCTTTATTTGGGTTTTGTAAAGTCTTTAAAGGGGGAAAAAAAAAAAGCCTTACTGTGAAGACAGTGATGACGAATAGTATGCTGATGTTCACTTTATTATATGCACTATACAGTTCCTAAAATAAGAGTAGCTACCTGGGCCTCTTTGATCTAAAATATTTAGGGGCTATTAAGTTTTTAATGTAGAAAATGCTACTAATGATGCTTAGGGCCTGAAGTACAGTGACCCCCGTTTGAGGGGCACTACAGGTTAAAGAGGATTCTGAAGGTTAGAAGGGATCATGTGGCTTATCTAAATATTTAAAATACAGCTCATTAGAAATGGAGATTATGCATTTTTGTCAACAGGAGAGAGATGGGGCTGGATGATTATTCCCTTGTTCTCCAACTAGATACTCTTTCAAAAATACTTAATTCATGTTGTTTTACATGTTTTCCCCATGCCCTTAGCATTTTACATGTAACTCTTAGGTTTGCAAATATTAGAGTGAACACACATGCTTTAGTTTAAAAAATATTTATTATAGAAATGTACATTTAATTAGTTTTAAGGAATGTACCTGACCACAGTGTTAATATATATTTCTTCAAATTTGCAAACTTTACACCTTTAAGATATCTACAAAGATAATAGTTTATTTACAAGTTTTACAAGAAATGATCACTTCACAATACTGTTGACACAGTTATGATTGAATATTCTCACTTTTTTTTTTACTTCACTCTGTACTTATAGAAGGAACACAGAGTATGGGTGAAGTTCCATCCCAGTGCCAGGGACAGCCCGTAGAGCAGAATCAGAGGTGCAAATGGATACAGAAGAATTACTGTATTTTTCAAAAATGGCAATGCTGGAAAAGAAAGGAATCCAAACTGATTTTTTAAAAAACATTATGACTAATAAATGAACATTTTGAAAGACAGCTTACTTCAACATGTGGGGTGGAAGGGAATGCATCTTTTGAATCAGTAAGGTTATGCTATTTATACCCAGAACTAGACGACTCCTCCCAACCCCTCTGTGCTGTTTCCTTCTTGTCTAGGGCTGGGAAGAAACCTAGGAGAGGAATGATTTCAGCACAGAGACCGAGTGGGACATACACTGGACTGAGAGAGGTTAACAGGGAGGGAGAAATATCACAAATATTCATGAAAACAGTGGTGAATTTAAACTTGTGACTGCCTCAGAAGCCTCTAGGAGTCCAACTTCAAGTACAGAGATGGATGATATAGGAAAATATCTTTTAGCTATTTGAGATTTTCCAGTGTAAAGCATTAGACCCTCACTTTAAGAAGGTGTGAGCTCAACTAGTAGCCCAGGCTTCAGAAAAGAACTGAAACTCTTAAATATAAAAATCTGGCTCCAAATACTGATGTTTCTTGGTCACTGGTTAGTTGGCGGGACCCTACCCCATGCATCCTGACCTGAGTATTTCTCATACAGGAAGGTCTTAAACAGAAACTGAGCTGTACTCCAACTATTCTAAGTGGTATAGGAGTTAGGAGCAGTGTTCAAATAACCACTTAGAGAAACCACAGTGCTGCAGTGTTCTCATCACAAAACACTTTCAAAATTCATTAGAAATGGCACAAACATCTCCCCTGGACTAGAGAAAGCACTCCCCAAACAAAGCATTACAATGAAGGGGTTAAGTGTTCCCTGGCCAACCAGCCGAAGGGGGAGAGAATGGGGGTGGGAACAACTCTGGAGCCAGGCACAGTCAGAGCCATCTGTATTTACAGTTAGGTCCTAACCATCTACAGTAACAGGAAAGGAAGGGCTAAGAAACATACAGTGCAGTCTCTAGATTTTATTTGGCTTTATTTAATGGAGATCATTTCTTAAATGAAAAATTATGTTCCTCATTCATATTAAGAAAAATGAACTGACAACAGGATTTAAGAGGAAATCTGCATACATGTCCTGAGGACAATAAATGCTGGGCCCGATCTTCTGTGATCGTCTACAGAACCATACGGTAATCAAGAAAACTAAAAAGGGGGCGAGAAGTATGACTCCAAAGGCTTTAGAGAACTTCAGTTCATAGACCTGTATAACAAGATTCTGGGTCCCACCTTTCTTCGCTCTAGCCTCCGGCTGGTAACCCACAACCTGAAAGCATGGGAGAAGAGGAGGAGCGAATGGTCTTGGATTCCTGCAAGTCATTTGGAGATAACCAGTACGGTTTAACATGGTTCCTTCAAAGTATAAAATCTGTTATATACCAGCTAGGCCATTTTCTAGCTGCATGACCATGGGTAAGCTGCTTAATCTCTGTGCCTCAGTTTCCTCATTTGAAAACCAGAAACAAGTAAACCTGTGTAATTATGAAGATTAAATGAGATAATGCACATAAAATATTTAGGACAGTGCCTGTAAGTGTTCCATAAAAGCAAGCTATTAGCATTACTGTTACAACTTTCCCCCTCTTCCTATGTTCTCACCCAAAAACATTTTAAAAAATTACTTACCACTGTATCCCAGGAAAGTGACATAGATATAATAGCCAACTGCAACCAACCATAAGGTGTTTCCAACTAAATATCCAATAAATGTGTCTGTCAGGATAACATCTGCCAGAAGAGATGCAGACCATGAGTCCCTTCACCAATGCATGCAGTGAAGACTTGGATAATATTCTAAGTAACTGCTACTTACGGTTGATGAAAAAAAGCTGGATGAAATGCAAAATGACCAGGAGTGGATAAAAAGCATTGAGATGCACATCAAAAGCATAGCCCCATTCCACATCATAGTCTCTGCTCTGTCGTTTCACTAAATACTTGTTAGAGATGAACCTAAGAGCAAAATTAAAATTTCTTTCATAATAAAATTGATTCTGTAAATGTTTACTTACTATGTGGCAGACATTCTAAATTCTGGAGCTATACCAGTAGACAAAACAGACAAAAATCCCTACCTTCCACCTAGGAAGGAAGACTGACCATGGATAAATATGTTAGATGGTACTATGGAAAGAGAGAGAGCAGTAGAGAAATGTGGAGAAGACAAACCTGAGATGCAATTTTACATATGAGGGTTATAAAGTAACATTTGGGTAAAGACCCAAGGACAGTGATGGTGCCTGGCAGGTCTGAGGAATGGTAAAAAGACCAATGTGCTGAAAGAAAAGGAGCAAGAAATGAAGTCAGAGAAGAAACAGGGTTGGGTCCAACATCAGGTCACACAGGATCCATGTTTGACTCCATGTTTCATGGAGCCTGTGGCCATTTTACAATCTTTGGCTTTTATTCCTGGTGAAATGAGAAGCCTTATTTGACTTAAATGCCTTGACAGAGCCTCCCTGGTGGCTGATCTGAGAACAGACTCGAGAGACAACACTGGAAGCAGAGGCCAGTTAGAAGGCTACAGCAAGGAAGAGATGAGCAGAGGGACTGGTGGCAGTGGAGGTGCTGAGATGTGGCACACATGATACTCGGAAGGTAGAGCCCTGACATTACTGGATGTCAGTATGAGAAAAAAAGACTCAAGGATGACTGAGAGATTTCTGCCTTGAACAAATGGAAGATGGAGCCGCCTTCAATTGAGGTGGGGCTGGCTGTGAGAAGAGTGGTTTTGAGGTGGGAAGGAGTGTGCGGAAGTTTGAATTTGGACCTGTTATGTTGAAGATGCCAACTAGTATGGAGTAAGAAGTTGTATACCATGTTTAGAGTTTAGAGGACAAGTCCAAACTGGAGATATAAACTCATCAGTGTGTAGATGATATTAATATTTAAAGCCACGGGCCTGAATCGTGTCACCAAAAATATGTGGATAATGAACAGGCCCAAGGCCCAAGACCCCTATTAAGAGGAGGATGAAATAGTAAGAAGCAGTTAGGAAGAGTGACACATCCAGCCGTAAGAACAATTATTCAAGCGTATGTCACTGTTCTACAACATGGCCTGCTAGTTTTTCAGTTCAATGATGAATAAAAAGTAAAATATCCAAGTAATAGAAAAGTAGATCTTCAAAGAACAAAAGTTGTATTATAAACATATATTGGAAATTCAATGTACTTTTTAATGTATTACTTCATTTCATCTCAAGGATACAATTAAGAATATACTATTCTGACACTGGGGATAAAAATGAAAAATAAACAGATGAAAAACATGGTACAATACTAATGGTAACAGTTCCTGCATTTAGTTATCTGAAAATGCCAAAACAATACTGAACAAACTAGAGCTTACCAAGACAGTTTCCTTTTTAGCCAAGAATGTGTGCCATTCAAATTGTATGGAATCAACATGTAGCTCACTCCCCAAGAGCACCCTCTATGAAAGCAGACGTTCTCTGCTGCCCCTATTCCCCTGCTTATCCCAAATGGGTACTTTCCACGCTTCTGGCCTCAGTGAGAGTCTTTCCTCTAGAAGACAGATGTGCCTTCTGAGAGCACTCCAAGGCACTGTGGTTTTCACCTCCCAGCTCCGCATTAACGCCAGTCAGAGGCTCATCATGGCCCAGACTGTTGCCTCTAGGTCTAGAGTCATCAACCTCAGTGTCTACTGACCTTTTCCACTCTTCAACAAGTTCCCTGAACTCAACAGGCCATCAAGGGCTGCTTCATCTGCACCTGCTGCTTCCTCAGTCCTCCAAGGCCAAACCTTGCAGGCCATCCCAAAGAAGCCTCCCACCTACTCCCCCTTCCTGATCCTCCCTCATACCTTGTTATCTCAGGAAGCTCTCGAATCCATTTCTCCTCTCTATTCCCATCACCACCATACTATCTGGGCCTCCTCTACTCCTACGCAGACCTCTGCAAGTGTATCCAGCCTTGCCCACTCACTACTCCAACTTTTGCCTCCTCCACTGCCATGGAAAAGATTTTTCCTGAAGTGTGAGTTTGACATTATTTCCTTACTTCAAAGCCTCAAACCTCCCCACCTCCTTCTGCCCCCAACCCAAACATGCAGTCTATGAGATAAAGTCCAATTTTTTTCCTGAATGGCATTAAGGCTAATTTCTGTAGTCACATCTCTTCCCCAGTCACTCGGTGTCACCCTATGCTCCCAGACCTAGCATGCTGTTCCACACCTCTATGCCTCTGCACTTGCAATTCCTGGTGCCAGGAGTCAACTATTCCCCATCTCCACAAACCACCTCCTTATGCTGGCTTCAGTAATACATCTGTGATGGTCATGATTACATGCAGTCATTTCTCCTTCTAGTTCCTCACACAACATAGGTTCTCAAAACTACACTGAATCCCTTTCTATGTAATTCGAACTATGATACAGACTCACATGAAAGGTGCTAATCTCCAGCTTGATTTGGTTTCTGTGGCTGATATGGTTTGGCTGTGTCCCCAACCCAAAATCTCATCTTGAACAGTAATCTCCGAAATTCCCATATGTCAAGGGTGGGGCCAGATGGACATAACTTCCCCCATGCTGTTCTCGTGATAGTCAGTGAGTCTCACAAGATCCGATGGTTTAATAAGCATTTGGCATTTCCCCCACTTGTACTCACTCCCTCCTGCCACCTTGTGAGGAAGGTGGCTGCTTCTCCTTTGCCTTCCGCCATGATTGTAAGTTTCCTGAGGCCTCCCTAGCAATGCAGAACTGTGAGTCAATTAAACCTCTTTCCTTTATAAATTACCCAGTCTCAGTTATTTCTTTATAGCAGCGCTGAGAACAGACTAAGACAGTGGCCTCCAGAATTACGTATTCATGGCAGAATGCTTATTATGAATGAAACTATTCCTTTGAAAGTCTTATTTATTGAAATTTCAAAATACACCATTTGTTTTTCATGAATTTCTTGGTAATGAATACGTGATTACATTAGTATTAATTCTAGGCCAGATTTTAGAATTTATGTTAACAGTGCACAGCATTTATTGGCTAACTAGCATATACAAAAGTTCTGCTGTACTAGTCGGAAGTTACAAAGAAAAATACAGGCATATATCATTTTACCACACTGCACTGTACCGCACCTCAGAGAGACAGTAGTTTTTTAATTTTTACATATTAAAGGTTTGTGGCAACCATGTCCAGCAAGTATTCCTGTGCCATTTTTCCAGCAACATATGCTCACTTCACATCTCTGTGTCAGCATTTTCTAGCAATAAAGCATTTTAAAGTCTGTACATTGCTTTTTAGAGCCATAGTGCTACTGTACACTTAAGACTACAGGACAGTGTAAATATGATTTTAATATGCACCGGGAACCAACACATCTCTGTGACTCAGTTTACTGCGATATTTGCTTTACTGAAGTAGTCTGGCATGGAACTAGCATATCTGAGCTACGCCTGTAAAAGGCTGGTATTGGCCAGGCGTGGTGGCTCACACCTGTAATGCCAGCATTTTGGGAGGCCGAGGTGGGAGGATCACCTGAGGTCAGGAGTTCGAGACCAGCCTGGCCAACATGGCAAAACCCCGTCTCTACTAAAAGTACAAAAATTAGCCGGGTGTGGTGGTAGTGTGCCTGTAATCCCAGCTACTCAGGGACGCTGCAGCAGGAGATTTGCTTGAACCCGGGAGGTGGAGGTTGCAGCAAGCTGAGATTGCACCATTGCATTCCAGCCTGGGTGACAGAGTGAGACTTCATCTCAAAAAAAAAGGCTGGTATCATCAGAAGTTATAGTTGCAGAGTTTTGCTTAAAATATTAGTAACTACCAAATATTGAACACTTAACTATGTGTCAGGTACTTTTCATAACATAATTCTCTCAAAAATTGGACAAAATAGTTAACTCAATTTTACAAAATAAAGAGACTGGGACTAAGAGTTTCACAGATGGCGAGCGACACAGAAG